AAGCATTTTGGTCATCGTCTAGTAAACTAGTCTCGTTATCATTTAAAAAAAATTCGAATCACTTAGACCAGTTTCAAAAAAATTATTGCGTTTTAAAAGGTATACGAACACTTTTGTGGGCAACTGCACATGTAACAATTCCGCTCACAAACTCTTAATAAAAATAAATCTCCCTTATATATAAATAAAACTCTTAATAATAAATCTTTTTCCTTTTCACAAGTTTCTGTTTCGTTTTCGTTAGTGCAAAATTTAAGAGCGTGACGCTATTCGTGATTTTCTTCTCTCCTCACTTGTAATTAGTCATTACTGCACACTCTTACGCAATCCACTATGAAATCAAACACGCTAACGTTATTAAATCGTATCTTTTACTGAATATTCAGTAGGAATCTACATACTAGCTGATGCTGACTTTTAGTTTCGTTACGTCTCACACACATCTAGCATTTTTAAATGATATCGACAGTCCCACTCTAATTGACCGGGGAATTCAAATTACAGAAATGGAAAGTGTAACAGCGTTTCAGTTTCACTATTGATGGAACGGCAAAGAAGGGGCGTTAAAGGCGAATTTAGTGTAAATATTGTGTGTGTGTTCTCATCTGCATTTCTTCCAAAGTGAACAGTGAACGAAATAGAGCCGAAGTCTACTTTTGATGAATTGGATGTGTACCCATGGATGATTCATCTCTAGTGAAGCGACAGTGATATGTTTAAAAGAGTTTGATGAACAAGTGAACCTCCGCGAAAGGTTGGTGTGACCCTCACCGGAAACGAATTCAACTAGTATCCAGACTTCATTGACAATGAGAAATCAGTGAAATGGTTTCATTTTTCATTAACAGATGTACATCCAAAGTGCGAAGACTAAATTCACTTTAAGTAATGGCAGATTTTTACTTTGAGTGGAATCTCGCAGAGCACAAGAACGCCGCTTCACCGTTGGACGCGTGCTCCTATTCGGAACAAATAAAGCAGCCCTTAGTTGCAATACCAGCCGGGTAGAATTCGAGTCAATTTCCACTGGCAATGAGTCAAACGAGATTTAAGTCAAAGGTGAGGCTTTTGACTGAGGCTGACTCCTCGGTGCATCGAGCCACGTCAAGGGAACGCGCGACGGCGCGGCGCGGCGCGACAGAGTTGCACCCGAGAATGCATTCACGTCGAACGAATCAGAACCTGTGAATTGGCCCTTATCCAGCAACTGCTTTCAGTCTGTCTTTCACTCGGTTTATACCTCTTTTATTTAGGATCGTTTCCTATCTTCGCCCTGCCAATTATACCTGGCGGACTAAAAGTTTTGGGAGCTGTTTTTATCGGCAATCGTAACAGATATCGACTTCACTCTTTTTCATTAGATGCCAAAGGAGAACTTTCGTTTGTCGTGCAACCGACTTTCCTGTGTCGATTGTTATGGTGTATTCATTTTTCGGACAGTCCCTACAGACCTGAATAACATTTACTTGTCACTATCTTCTTAAATTAAAAATAGTTTTTTCGAAAGAAATTTTGCAGAATTTTCGATTGAAATTTTTATATATATAAAATTTGTCACACGGTATTCTGAATGTCTAATTGAAGAAATGACTCATTAATGAAGCTATAGTTTTATTTTCGTATGCTGTAAAAAATAAAACAGTAATTAAGTAGATATAGCTCTTTTAAGATTTACATCTAATATTTTTAAGACATGCAATTTTTACGTTACACAGAAATTCTAAACAGATGTTATTAGTATACTGTGTATCTTAGTGCATTTGTTTGTACAAATATACGAAGTAGAAAGATACATTGCAACAAAAATTAGAGTTCTTTAAGTAATAGTATTTCATGTTTCGAATGACACATACATAGAAACGGATATACGGCACATAAAAATGATTCGCAATTTTTCGTGTGACCTACATTGTATGTACAGTTTCTCTTCGCGAGCCGTTCTACTGTAGAAAAGAAAATGGTATTTCGCAAAAGTGAGTAAACAATGTTCCGAGGGGATTCGCAGTGTTAAGTTACAGGAAGTTGTAATGAAACCCTGCAAACTTTTATCGAGTGTTTATCGAACGTACCCGGCCGGCTTCACAGCAGGGAAAATATCGTAGCAAAATTGTAAGAACTTTTAAATTTCAGCGACTTTTACGAACTCGAGTTTGTACCAAGTCGGTGCATATAGACATGTAAAATTGACGGAAAAGTGGCCGCTGTGAAATTGTACGTGTAGTTTTAGCAAGAAGAATTTGCAAACAAGTTAAACATTTCTAACTTGCGAGTCGTAGGTATTGCAACGAAATTACAGTGCATGAACGTGTCACTGTTTATAGTGTTCAGGTGTTCTGTTCTTTCTTGTGGGAAGTTTCTTCCGCATATGAAAAAATGCTAAACAGTTAAAGAAAATCATTGAGTACAATTCATAAAAATGCATTGAATACTGATTGCATAGTAACATTACACAGTATTTCTGTAGATAAGTTTTTTATCGAGCAAAGCTGCCATGATTCGTTTATAGGTTTTATACAAAGTTCAAATTTTCTACTTCAATTGCAACGAAGCAAGGTAAAATAGTGTAACAAATTTTTTAAATTCTTCTGATGTTTTATATAATAATTCTACGTCAAGTGACACATTATGTGCAGTCTAGGATTTTTATGAAATTTTACCTGGATTAAAAAGCAAAAATTTTTCTGTAGTGTATAAACTTTTCGATTTCAGAGTCAATTATTCCGAGTCAATTATTTTAAAAGAACAAGCAGTATTGCAAATGTCAGCACGCCGGAAGCGGAATTTTATTCGTGAAATGTACAAAGTTGCTTCTGAATGGTTATACGTCATATTCTCTTATTTTAGATCCGAAAAATAAATTTTGAGAGCAGAGTGAATTAGTTTAAAATACTTTTTGTGGTTACAATTAAAAAATAAATATTTCTATTGTAGTGCAAAATTATAGAATCGTCGTCAGATCGGTAAAACCATTGATGTACAAAGTTTAGTCGAGATCAGTAATGGTTAATTTCACATACACTTCGCATATCTTTCTTTCTTGCAACAATTGTTATTAAAAGGCTCTGATATAATTGACTCGTTCACGCATTTTATCGTATCTTAGACGCACGTGTGCACTTAATGGCTCTTTTCTCTCGGTGAGAAAGACTATAAGTAGAACTCTAAGAGCCACAAATGGGAGCGGAATCCAGCTCTTGAATGGCCTTCATTGCTCGGCCAATCCCTGGTACACAGTCACACAGAAATTGCATTTTTACAAATACTTATGCATCAGCTTGAAAGTTCACACTCGAGCTGTTTCTTGCATATAAGGTACTTCGTAATTCACGTCTATCTATTGTTTAAAATAACAATCGAAACCAGGTTAGTTCCTTCAACAAATTTCTTAGTTTGATTAAATGTAATTTTAAACAATTTTTCACCCACTGTTTTGTTTACAAGAGTAAAAACACCTCGTAATAGGTAATAGGTATTACAACAATAAGTATTTCTGTAGTCATCAATTCTTACAATCATTCGAGCTCATAGAAATATTAATAATGAATGAGAATATGCTAGGCGTTGCTATAATAATTTTGTTAAAAAACAAATATTGCATAGTAAAATTTTGCATTGCATCACGTAATATGAAAATTCCTGCATGAAATTCTCTTTATCTTTTCAAAGTAACGAATCCAATTTCGTGGATGCATTTTTGATGAATTTTTAAATTAGGATATCCTTTTAATTTTTACGTTTCTTTGGTGAATATTTTACACTAACCCTTTCTCGGCGAACAAATGAATAGCCGTGTTTCATATTACACGTTAACTATTATTGAAGATTATCACTTGTACAATTTCTCCGTTATTCTATTTCTACTATTAAAGGTTCGATATTAACGTAGATTTTGATGACGTCATCTTTTTTAAAATAATTTCTCTGTGAAAATGAATCGTTTATACGGAAATAAAGCTTTACGTAAAATCAAATGTGGATTACGTTATATAATTTTCTGCGTTGAGATCGCCACATGGAAATTCCTGCGTAAGCCAAATGATATTCATTTAAACTTGACATCGAATATAATTCTCAACGAATATCAGAGGCCGTTCTGAAATCGTTTTAATTTCGCTTTTGAGCCCGCGTTATCCGCGGCAAAGGGAATCAATGCGTTCCGACATGATAGATCATTCCATTAATGTTCCCGGCGAATTTCGAAGACTCATTTCTGGATCACAGGCAGTTACGGAGAAACGAAATCAAAAAGGAAAGATGGATTAACCAGATTTCATTGGAGACCGACTGCTAAATCGTGCAACGGGAACTCAAAGAGAATGTGTCGGGTGGTCGTATAATCGTGAGGGATTATTGTGCATGGGAGCCGTAGTCTAGAATGTCCTTATAAATCGTAGGTTTGCTCTCATTCTCTCTTAGTACGAATATTCGTTCTGCTGCATTTTCACTTGCTTTTAAGCAACAATAGTTAACCAACACGCGCAACAGTCTCGTTTATAATCATTTCAGTTACAGATTATATACGTTCGTTTGTAAATGAAATTTTCAGTTATTTTTTAATTTACGGTTCTATCGAGCTTTGTGCATAGTAATATAAAAGAAACAGTAACCAAGAATTATTATCTAAAAACAAATTTTTGAACTTGAAAAGCTTTAGCTTTAGCTTTTGAAGCTAAATCCTAATTCGAACACATTGTATACTACATGTATATTACATGTACTTTCCATTCCGTTTGGCAACAACAAATGATCTTTACAAAAATTAAATTGAAAAAGTTGAAAGTAGAGGCTTCACTCTTTAAAATGAGTGCAAATGAACGTACGATTTTATTTCTCGAAGTTGCAGCAGTTTAAATATCGACAATTTTTCGGTTCATTTAGTTATTGTTTAATTTTTTGGCCTAAATTGTATTAAATTATTTTATATTAACAAATTTATTCATTGTTAGAATAAATCAATCAGAAAATATGTGAATGAAGAATGTTAAGAATTTTGTACTGACCAATTTAAACCTAAACTTGCGCAGGATCTCTCGCAAGATTCCAGGTCAGCGGGTTGATTAAACTTCTTACCTAAAAAGAACGAAAAACACATTGAAAATACGCAAAAAAAAAATAATATAATACTAAAATATATGTTATACTTATCGCAACAAAACATTTCCTTTATAATATATTCTAAACAATTCTGTCACTAGTATTTCTTTCATCAATTGAATTACAATTAGATTCTTCAATATGTTGAAAAATATTCTTTTTCACTCATCTAATGTGCCAATAGAAATTACTTATTAAATGTTGGTAAAAAGCAAAGATAAGGTAAAATTTTTAATATGGTATAGTTAGTTCGAATCTTTATGCAAAATCGAATTTTCAAAGATTATTTTATAAAAGTTAAAAAAAACCGTTTCTTTTCCAATCAGAAAATTTCTATAGTGGTTAAAATAAAATGAAAATATCACAAACTTTAATTAATCTACAGATTTCCTTATATTTCAAAATTGTGTACAGGCCATAAGTGTACAAAGATTTACAGCTTAGCAATTAAACTGTTGTGTATTAAAACTGTTGAAGTACCTGCATGAAGAATTACGCGGCATATATACACATATTTACATGTATCGATAGAGAAATCAATTATGTTCGATATTTTACTAATTAAAATGCTCTCTCGTACCCCACGATTCAGTATAGATACTGTTGATTTTAGAACTAATCCTATCGACGGAAAAATGACACTCGAAGTAAGGTCGCGTTCCAAAAGCGGCTGCAAAGAAATGTTATTCAAATAAATAATGCGTTGGAAGCTCGCACACGGGGGTCTCTTCAGAACGATCATTGATTTCTTATAGCGCACGTGTTACGGTGACTGTCATCGCAGAGTGTGGGCGCTTGATCTACACGCTCTTGTATTTGCAGTTTGCACAGAGATGAATGTATGTTTTACCTTGTTACGCGCGGCCTTCGGCGAAGGAACTAGGACGAAAACGATGTCAGTCGGTTGCTCGTGATTTATGAGAAAATGTGAAGAAGGCAGACACGCTGACTAATGGCAAACAAATTAATTTCAAGCGTTAATACGTACGAAGCGAGCCGGGTCAAGCGGCATGACAAGCCCCGAACGGAACTTTTTCCGCAAAAACATACCTAAATCATCAACTAAAATCCTGTTAAATATTAGATTAATACATTCGACATTCAATTTCAAACTACGACTTAATTGGACTTGACTTTATTAACCCTTTATGTGTTTACTCAGTACGTGGTATGGGCGAGAGAGTTACATTGTATATTCTAATCTCAATATGGTATTTATATAATATACGAGTATAATATAAAACCATAAATCTAATATATTAAAGTAAATTTCTTCTTTATATTATACTTTCTCATTTTAGTGAACATTTAAAGGGTTTATTAAAGTGACAGTATTAGAAGCTATAGATTTTTATTAACAAACAACAAACTTATTTATTCAATTAAATTCAATCGAGATATCCTTGATCGACGACTGAAAAGTCTGATAAGACCTTCCGCTACGTTGCACTCATTTGGAAATGTACTTCGAAGACTTTGGAATGAAATCTTTTAAGAGTTGGTGCAGCGACGTAACATGTATGGAAGATGCCAGGAAGTGATAGGACAACGATGGGGTGAATTTTCCTTCCAAATTCACGAAACACATCCTAAATGCATTTCGTGCATACACTGATTGTGAGCACGCGCTTTACAGGAGCTACAAGTTCAAGTGCACAAAATTCCTTGGATTATTCTAACGCCAACTGCACAATCTTCAGTTAAAGTACAGCAATGCGCCGAGCATAAAAACTATCTCGGAGAGAAATTTAGACTTCAAAAAATTGTTTGAATTAATAGAATTACTTAGGGCAAAATCCATCTTTATGTGCTTTTTAACATATAGAAGTCTTTGAAAAAATCCCATTCGACACTTCAACTTCTTAGCTGTGTAGGCCACTTTCTAAGAGCTGTACATAGTTCATCGTATTCTCTATGCATATTTTCGGCAAGTTATTTAAAATTATTATAGACTGTACGAAACTTCACAAATATATATTGAATATGCAGTTTCTTTCAGCAACTTCTACTAAAATTATTCTAAACTGTATGAAAATGAACGCATTTCACAAACCTGTCACGTGCAGTTTCTCGCATCAAGTTCTTCTAAAATTGTTCTAAACTGTACGAAATTTCTGAACACATTTTATAAGTACACTGCGTGTAGTTTCTTTCAACTAAAATTATTCCAAACTGTACGAAAACACGTTCGAGAAAATGAACGAACACGTTGCAGAAAATTTTTAATTGAAATAGTAAAATGAGTGTACTGGTAGCAATTAAGAAAAATTGCCGTTTTTCCACGACGTGTATACCCGGCACGCTCGATTAAAAAGAGTCGAAGTGTCGTATCAGTTTTTCACGAAGTTGCAACTCAAAGATTGACAATTTTTCGGTCATGCGGCTCCACAATTTTGTGGCGCAGATCCATGATAGGAGATTATTCACGTGTGTACAGGCATCATCCGCTTGCTCCGGATACCTAGAAGACGAACGCGTATTTCACCTAGTTACACATGCCATTAGCGGACCAATTGGAACGAATACAGTGGTAGCCTTGTCTTTCTTCTTGGCTCGTATTTGTATCAAGAACCCGTGAGACGGATTTCTGTGAAACGTCCGCAAAAGACGTGAAAGAGTGCCGGCTTTCATAGGCTAACTAGTATCAAGAGAGTCCCGGAAGAACGATAAGTGGTCAGTTTTTCTGCTACAGGTGCGCGCGCGGCTGAGCACGGGACACTGGGAAACTTTTAATTTCTCCTCGTAATTTAAAGTGTGCTTTCCTCGTGCACAGGCTGTTACTATGCGATCGCTCGTTACGCCGGAAAAGTAGCTGCACCTATATTGTTGTTGCATTCGAGGCATGGACGAAAAAAAGAAAGCTCTAATAGCTCGAGTTTTTTTGTAGGGAACCGGTTTCGCAGCTCAACAATTTTTCTCCGACGCTAATTGTAGCCTCTCCTTTTTATTATCTCTCTGGTGGCTGGACAGAAATAGTGCACGTTGAATTTTGGACATAATAATATGAGTCATGGCTTCGAAAAGAGGAGGGAAGTTTCTAAACTGAATATCGTTAATGATAAATAGAGAAGTAGGTCATTCTATTAAAAAAAAATTACTGCTCGAAAGATCTCCGAAAATATAACCTTCAAATAACCATGGCCTCCAGAGACATCTGCCCCATTTAAAATACAATAATTTTCTACCCAAGCTTCTTTTTTATCTATGTTAATGTGACATCGTATTTTCATTTAGTTTTCGTAAAAAGTGCTCTATCCTTCGCTTCAGTAGATTGAAATTTAATTAGAAAATGCGGAAGAATGGATTTGGCTCCTTGCATTTAATTACAAGGATTTAGTAAGAGTTTCGTAACTTTTGCTCAATAGCGTCTGTAGGGGAGTGTGTGAATAATGAGACTAAAGTTGTAAAATATTACAAGAAAGGAGAATCATTCTCTTGGTTCTTTGAAGTGTAACTTGTTTTACAGTACAGTTTTTGATAAAAATGATTTTTGGAAAGCCGAAAAATTGTAAAATGGTTACAGTTTTAATCTAGTAAACAGTTGACATTCTTAGGTACTATCTAGAATTTTATAAGTAAGACCTGAATGTTACTTACTGTTACTATTGAATATTAATATTAATAAGTATTAACATTACACTTACGGGTCAAAACACTGTAAAATTCAAATCGGCTGTCATATTTGTGAAATCTATTTGTGTTGGATTGAATCAATATTTGTCTAGATCCAAGAATTTTTAAAATAATTGGATTCTTGTTATTATGTTTCTTCAACGTATATTATATTCTATGTATATTATATAAATGCAGAGAATATATGAACCAACGAATTAGTTTATTAAATTATAAAAGAAGGTACGCTCCAACCATTAAACGAAAAATGCACAAACCCTTACCGCAGCAAAGAAGAAGTTATGAAAAATGTAACAAAAGTAGAGGCGAACACTGCATGGAACAGATGGAAACTTTAGTAGAAAAGAATACCCACGATAAAATTTAAAAGCATTAAATGCTCCAAGCAGAAGTTATTTTAAACAAAATTTTGTATAAAATAAAACTGTATTTAAAACAAACATCTCGAATTTACATACGTTTAAATAAAAACTAAAATGAAAACAGTAATTCCGTAAACTATAGGAAACAGAGGACATAAAATAATTTAGGTATATTTGATTTTCCTAATTCATGAACACAATTTACAATAAAAATTCAAACAGTGAAAATTATTCCGAGTTCGCATAGTTAAACTTTATAAAAGTTTATAATTTATTTGAAGCAAAATTGAGCATTATTTACTCTATGGCATAAATGAATTTTCCTTATTTCTGGAAAGTTAATATACAATGACTTCATGAAAATTAATACGAGTACATATCGCTGACTTTATAAAATTTCTAAAATATACAATTTGCTCCTGCAATTATTAAACCACCCACGGCTCGGTGTAGCTAATAAATGACGTTCATGTATCTGCAGGTCCTGCAGGCGAAAACAAGTTACTGCGAACGAGAGAAGAACAGAAATAAGAACATTCTTTATTGTACCCTCACCCATAATGTTTTATAGCAGCAGAAAAATAGCCAAGTTGCCCAACGAGTACCATCAAAACCATGGGCTTTCGTTACTCCCTACCCGATATTCAAAGCTTCTTCGAAACAGGTCATGAGTGTGCAGTATACGCACTGCGGATATCTCGCAGTTTCTCGTTCCACTGCTCGGTGACAAAAGAATGCTTAGAAAATAATAATCTATTAATTTAAACATTATACTCCTATTTTGCCAAAAATGATCTCCGTGATCATAATTATTCTCATCGTTATTATTTATTACTATTATTGCAAATTCGTTACACTTTTGTTGCAACTTTGTGTTACGTGTTAATTATTTTATTCTAAAATACAATGCGTGGTCCGTTGTATTTAATTGTTTCGTCTAGGAGCAACAGTAGTACAGTCCATATTTCTCCGTTTTTATTA